CATCTTAGCTGCAGAGGGCAGTGTCACTGGCCCTCACATGTGGGATCCGAACCGGGGCCCTCTGGCATCCCAAGCGAGTTCTTAACCATCGCGCCACTTGGCCGGCCCTGTGCCAATTCTTAGTACTGAAATAGGGCCCCTTACTGAGCAGAAAGCCATTAACTCATTTATGCAATCACTCAGAAAACGTCTATGTAATGCCTGTCATGTATCAAGCACACACTAATTTCTTCCATCACAATCTTTAAGTTCCAAAAGTTCTAGTTGGATTAAATATATACTGTATGTATATCTGTGTATATTTCATCTCATAAAACAAGAGTCTATGACATGCAAAACCCCTTAACATATATTAATAAACAAAAGGAAGGGAAAAGATGAAGTATGTACCTAAAGAAAGACAGTGAGTAGTAGGGTATGAAGGAAAAAAATTTCCAGTGACTTCTAACTCTTGAGCAATTTTTCTTCTTCAGCTATATAATCAATAAAGAGATGTGTGCTGACTAATTAGTATTTGGTCATGGAATTATGGTAGTAAATCTTTACAGTAAGGTACTTCCTCAAATTAGTAAATTTTATTTGGATTAGATAAGACTATGTCAGCTACATGTTTTTATCTTCTAAAGAGCTCATACATTGTAATCACCTAATTGAACAATTTTGGCAAACCAAAAGAAACTTCTAATGATATACAAATGGTGTTGATATGATGATGGATTGACAGATCTGAAGGGAATTCCTAAAATAATAAGTGTTCTCAGTTTGCCCTTCTTAAATTATGCTTCTCTTAAAACCTTGAGCTATTTATAACAATGTTTTTCAAGCAGGGTGTGAAGACAAATATTTAAAATGTTGCCCAGTTTTGGCATTTAGAAATTAAGCTCCAGGCACAATCTTAAACGTCCTTTTTATATCTAACAGGTACAGAGGCAGAATCTATTTTCTTGTGATGTACAATTCTCTTTTTCATTCATTGTAATTTATTTTTCATTTCTTAATTTCAGCTAAATTGCTGTTATTAGAGTTACAATTTTTACATAATTTTAATTCTAATGGCAGTGCTAATGTAAACAATAAAACAGTGTATTCACATTCATCATGTATTAAATTTGTATATACTTTCATACAAGTCTTAAAAATGAAGTGCAAAAAATGAAAAGTTAGAATGAAAATATTTTTATTCTTTTTTTCTTTTCTTCAGTGAATTGTAAATAGTTTCTGTTGGACTATGCAGACAAAATGAAATTTCAGTAAAATTTTGAAAATATCAACATATCTAAAATAATAACAGGATCCCAACTTAAGGAGATTAGTTAACCAGAGTAAGTTCTTGTTGGGTTTACTAGTATTTTCCCATTGTTTAAGGTTTCTCAGAACTGCAGTTAGCCCAGGCATCACATACCTATCCTAGGCAAGTGAAGGACATAAAACCAAATGTGTACTGCCTTTCCCCTCCCACTGGTGCAGTCTGACACACAGGCAAGTTTATCAATTTATATTCCTTGTTTGGGGCAATAAATGGGTTCCTACTATAAGAACTAAGGTGGCTTCTGACACTATAAGCTCCTTCCTTATTTTGATTATTCCTGGGAACAAACTGTGGATGGGAATGAATTGTACACGTGTTTGATTTCCTTTGATAAGAAGCACCCCCAATCTTAATGTTCTTTGGTAATAGGAAGAAAAAATTATAATTAAAGATGCTCTTCCTTATTTCAGTCAACGTAGTTTTCAGACACTGAACAAAAAAAAAGGAAAATCTCACAAGATTTATTTTATTAACAAAAACGTTTAAACAAGTCCTTCATTTTCTATCCTGTGCCTATGTCCTGCCTTTCCTTTTTGTACCCGAGTTGAAGGCAGATGCTGCATGGACAAAATGAGAAGAGAAGCCTGAGATTCCTCACAATGTTTGGGCTACTATTTCCTCTATTCAACTCTGCTGTGTCAGGAAGGGAGTCAGAGAATTTGGGCAAGTAAGACTTTATTAATGGTCTATAAATTCAAGGTGAAATAAAGCTTTGAATACTATGTCAAAAAACCCAACAATAAAACCAGGTGGTGTCAGACAGGAGGAAGCCACCTGGGCCTGGAGTTACGGAAGAGCCTGGGTTCTGTTCCTGCTGCTTCTGCTTGGTAGCTGTTTGACCTTTGGTTACTTTGCTTAGCTTCCTTGGGGTTCTACAAATGCACAATGGGGATAGTAACACCTGCCTTATAGGTCAGTTGTGCAGATTAAATGAGGTCATGTATGGAAAATAACTGGTTCTTGGGGTATTAAAGTAACAGTCACTGTTGTTACAGCACCTTATCAGAGAATTCATTCCAGGAATGATCTAGATTGAAAGAGCAGATGTTTCTTTAAATCTTTGCATTTGGCACCCACTCTTCACAGACTGCGGATAGCATACACCTGTCAACTCCGTAAAATAGTGTGTTTCTTAAGGTGATTGCTTTAATCAAACTAGCTTTATAAAACTAGCTAAAATAACTGAATAATCAAATGATGGATCTCAGCGACCCTAACAGATTCTTCTTAGTAATCTCTAAATCCCAGATAGTAACAGACTATATTCTATAGCTGTGATTTGGTGACTCACCAAATATTTGATTTGGAAGGAAATTGAGATTGCCTGTAGTCTAAGTTGGTTTACTGTCAGTGAGACACAGTGAGGCACAGAAAGCCCAAGCTTCCACAGCTAGTTAGTGGTGGAGCCGGGCTAAATTTAGGTTCTTAATTCCTAATATAATATTTTTCCCCCTGTCCTTTCAAGATAATAGAGCACTAGTTTGTACCTTGCCACAGAAATTGGGGTTAACAGTTTATTTTTAAAAATTGTGTTTAACATATACATACCTGATAGGCTTCTACTACCAAATTGTTGAGGTTTGCAGCCTTTGATTCTATCTCACCAGCAATGGTGCCGGGCAAGAGGGGTAGAAGGTCCTAGAAAATATACCAATAACATGTACTTAATGACAGTCATATGCAATGGTCTAGCAATCAACAAATATTAAAAATCCTTCCAGTTATCAGTAGAAGATAACATTGCATGAATAAAAAAATATAAACAACCAACCAACTAGGGCAGCCAAAGCATATACACCTGAAGTGGCAGTGTGTGTGTGTGTGTGTGTGTGTGTGTGTGTGTGTGTATGTATGTGCAAAAGTGTGTGTCTATGCAAAGATTACATGCTGACCTAAAAAGCCAATCAAAATACAGACCAGCGTTTTCCAAAGTATCGTCCATGGAACATAGTCTCAAGAGATTTTAAACATGAAAGGGTTCTAAGGGCAGATAAGTTTGGGAAATTCAGCATATGGTTTCTTCCATGTAGAGACTAAAAATATACACTTGCAATGAAAAGTTCAGAGAAGTCTTGTGATTCAGAAATAATTTAGCATTATTTAATGCATTTTCCAACATTTCTTTAATTACACAACTCTTTTCTCATATAAACATTTTGCAGAACGACTGTTCCATGACTGAACTTCATTATATGTTGGTCCAGACTGGATAAAAAAAATCATAGTCACAGTGGAAGCCTCATGGAGTGGGTGTTCTTGATGGGTGGTGCTGAATCATTATGGAGAAAACTCTAGGTATTCCCAGGGAGAAAAAGAATTAGCAAAGGCTTAAAGGTTCACCTGAGTTGTAGATGAAGTAAGAACAGAAAAGAAGCCAGTCTGATTGGAGTGAAAGGTACATATTTTTAAGAAATCAGATTAGGAAAAGTCTTGAAATCCATTTATACACTCATTTATCATTGACAAGTATCACTAAGTTCCTGCTGTATGCCAGCCACTACTTAGATACTAACAACTAGGTATCTCAGGTAATAGGGAAAATGTATCACTTATAGGTTTTAAAAACCCATTTAACCTTTGTCGAGCACCTGTTGTATACCACTTTGGAGATGCTAAATTGCTAGGCCACTTAGTTTCCATTCTTCAGGATGTCACAGGTACATAAGTGACAATTTCAAAAAATAGCATGTCTTAAAGGATGAGAGAGAGTTAGCCAAGTAATGAGGGAGGATGGCTTCCAGGCATGGTGGGTACACAGCAACGACACTGGCACAAAGGCGAGAAGGAGCCCAGAGTGTGGGGTGCACAGGAGAATCAGAAGCATGGCTGGAGGGGCAAGTGTAAGGCAGATGATGGTGGGAATGAGGCCAGAGGCAAGCAGGGACCAGACAGTCTCTGATGCTGCATTAAAGGCTTGATCCGCTAAGTCAGAGGGAACGACGGGGGCCATTGACTAGGCAGTACCGTGCTCACACTTGTGATTTAAATAGACCATCTTGCAGCCAGGTGGACGATGGGTTTGGAGATGTGCTAAGAGGCTGTTCCTGCCCAGACCAAGGTGACTGATAAATATATCTCTGGGCAGCCAAAGTAGGTGATTGTAAGAGCATACCCAGGACTCAAAGCAGAGCTTGTTGGGTTTTCAGAACCTGTTGACTCTTACTTTGCACACAATTCAGTTAATTAAGCCTGCCTGGTTTTATGGTTTATCAGTCGGTGGAAATTATTTTTTAACAGAGCAGGGAGAAACTGCTAGAGCCAATAACACCATTAAAAAATAATAAATAGAAGAGGAAGAGGAAGCGAATGCAATAAAAAGCAGCATAAGGAATACAGTCAATAATATTGTTATAAGTATGTATAGTGCCAGAAGGGTACTAGACTTATCGAGGTGATCACTTCATAAAGTATATAAATGTCTAATCACTATGTTGTACACCTGAAACTAATATATTACATGTCAACTATAATTGAAAAATAAATGAACCTCTCCCCCCCAGAAAAGCACAATAATTTGAAATTCAGCTATTAAGCTTAGAGGTTAAGAGCACAGGATTTAGGTTGTTAATGAAAGTTTGGGCAACTATAGAATATATAACCTCCCTAAATGTGTTTCCTCATCTTGTAAGAATGGACATACTAGTTATATTGCCCTCATTGTTATGAGTTGTTAAGAGTATTAAATGAGTTAATAAACTTAGTGCTTGACAATAGTAGATTCTCAATAAGTGGAAGCTGTTACTGTTGTTAATAAAGTGGTTTGGGCATTTGATTTGGGCCAGAGCCTTCCTTCTATGGATATTAAGGGTTGTTACATTAAAAAAGGGGGTCCATGGTCTATAAATTTGGGAAAACAGTGAAATAAAGTTTCACTATAGATTTCTAAGGGAAGAAACGCTATGATTAAGTAGTGCTTTCAGACGATAAATACGGTTGGGTATTAGGGGAGCTGGTGGAAGGCACACCAGCTTTGTGGCAAATGCAAATGGATTCAAGTGTCTGTTGAAGACAAATGAAAATGTAGTTTCTCTGAAGTATTAAAAAATGAGTAAAGGACATTTGGGAGTAGTAGGACGAAGCAAAGATGACAAAGATGAGGAAGACCCAAGAACAGACATCTGCAATGAAAATCAGGGTATCATGGCACCAAGGAAATGTAGAGAGGATACGCCGTGGACTGGAGTATAAGCAGGTCTCCAGACATGAACGGTATAGTTGGAGCGGAGCTACTTTTCACCTGCTAGAAGTCCTTCCCATTATTATCAGTCAGCACCACTCTAAGCATCAGTGCCCACACTTGGTTCCAGGTATTACAAACATGGATAGAATTTATACTTAAACGCTAACTTAAGACATTGTGTCATATACATTAGTTAATACAGTATTAAATTTAGATTGTACAAAGTACAATAACTCCAGAATCCTTACTGGGGGTTCTAAGAAGTATTCACACTTCAACCACCAAGGCAAACATTTTCATTTCTATATTTTGGGAATGAACATACCTTATACCAATGAAACTGTTTTCCTTGAACTGCAAAGATGACATTAATGTTGTTGTCTATTAACTTTTCTGAAAGTTGGCCTAGTGAGGGATGTTCCTGTTAATGGAGAATGAAATAAAGAAGGGAGTGAAATTTAGTAGCTCGATCCCACACACATCCAAACATTCCTTAGGAGGGAAACATATGACTGACATAAAAAATGAATTATGTTGGGTAGGGTTATGATTTTACTAGAGGCATTTAAATTCTTTTAAAACTTAAGATCAACACCCATGTATTAAGGATGTGTTGCAGACAGAAACTCCATGAAAACCTGTAACTCAGAGAAATGAGGAGGGCTGAGTTCCACATAGTGCAGCGTACACCACCTCTTTACAGTAACACTGGACTCAAAGTAAAAAGTGTTGAAATGCAGATATATGCATATACATATACATACATACATATGTACATACATATGTATTGCTATATATCATGATATAGTATAAATTCAGTTTAGAAGCAGAAAACCCTGTACTCAAATCCCAGGTTGTCACTTTATGATAAAAATTCTATCTCAGGTCCATCCTCTGTAACATATGAATGGTTATCTGCTTTCCATGATTGCTGGCAAGATGTAAAAGATAACAATAGTACGTGAACCATTTAGTGCCATTTCTTGCATATGTAGGTGCTCAAAACTAACAGCAATTATCATGATTTCAGTTTCCAATGGCTTATACAAAGTTACAGATCTCTCAACTCATTATTATTCTATTTAACCTAAATGTCATATATACTATAAATCTGTTTTACTTTGATAAATAAAACTTACATAGAGCCAACTGTGACATTCTTTGTGGTAGTGAGAAAGCTTGGGATGAATGGAAGGGAATAAAATTTAATTTAATAAATGACAGAAATCTGACATCTATGGAAATTGCTGTATCTAAAGTTATATAGACACTGTCCTTGATAATTTTTTCTTACTATAAATGCTTTTCTTCAACTTTCAACTTCGTACTAGACACCGCTCAGAAAGGTGATGTCAGACTTTACCTGCAGTGGTCCCCACCTGTTCACTGGTGCCTAATGCATTAGCCAAGGATCATGTGACAGAGCCCAATTATTATCATGTGATTCAAGTTCAAATCACTCGGTAGTTTTGGTCCCCCTATCATCCTTTAATGCCAATTGTGTTTTCTTAAGGGAACATTTTGCTAAACCATCTTGTTAACATTTCTTTTTTTTGGCAAATATGTGAAAGAGAGCTAATTTTACTATTTTTGCTTATAGTCCAAGTTCTGTGGCCTACATGTTAAACTTACATACACAGACATAAGAGATAGCCTTGTGCTGAAAAATGCTATCACTAACACGAGTAACTGCTATGGTCTAAATATTTGTGTCCCCATCCCCAGATTCACATGTTGAAATCCTAACCCCCAAGGTGACTGTATTAGGAAGTGGTTCTGTGGAGCCCTCATGAATGATATTAGTTCCCTTATAAAAGAGATGCAGTGGGAAAAGCTCCCTCACCGTTTCCACCATGTGAGGTTACAGCTAGAAAGTGTCATCTATGAAACAGAAGGCGGGCTCTCACTAGACCCTGAATCTGCCAGTGCTGTGTTCTTGGCCTTGCAAACCTTTAGAACTGTGAGGGATAAACTTCTGTTGTTGATAAGCCACCCAGTTTATGTTTTTTTGTTATAACAGCCTAAATAAACTAAGATAATAATCATGAAAAATATGGTTTTATTTTTTATATAATCTGTAATTGCTGTGATAGAAGCAAATCAAATTTTCATGAACTGCATTAAAATGGGATAAGAAACCAGATCATGAAAAGGTTTAAAAAGTATTATCATATGGATTTCCATAAAAAAAATTCTTCCCAAAGCAATTCTTAAAATATAATTTTAAAGTAATAGAAAAACAATCCCCCAAATATAAATTCTACTAGATAAATTCCTATTCCTTGTTCCTAAGAATATGTGTACTTTTAAAATAGACTTATGATGGTCTGCGTAATGCTAGTAAATCAATGAGAACAAGTTAAGGAAGGTAAATGTATCTGTATTGGGAGTAATTTTTTAATGGCAACAACTACTTTTCAAATATTTTTTCTTTGACAAAAAATAGTCAGTTTGCCAGGCATTCCCCCTTCTTAATTTTTAAAACCATTCATATTTTAAAGAAAATTTAATCCATATGTTTTTAACCAGTTTATACTTAACTCACATAAAATCAATATTTAACAGTCCAAGATGTAGGCAGCTTTCGAAGCCTTCTTTATCTTTTTCCCCTTTCAAAAACAGGAAGTCACATTGACCCAAACTACACAAAATTTAAATCTAGAAAGTTCCAGTTTGGTCAGAAGCTCATTAAAAAGGTCAACTGGATTTTAAAGCTTGAATTTTTTAGAACCCTAGAAAGAAAACTGTTTTAAAAGAAAATTCCAAGTACCTTGACGCAGATTTGTTAAAATTACAAATGTGTAACAGATGTTTAAATAAACCACCGTTGACAGGAGAGCTGTGGATTAATGGCCATTGTTGAAACCCCCTTCCCCTTTCCTCCATGAAACATTAACTTTTAAGTATTTTATCTTTTATGTCTTGTATTTTACTAGCAGGAACACTCCCTCTCAGCCAGCTGTTCTGGTGACATCACTGTCCTCATCTCTAACGCCCCCTTTGTCTAACCCATTACATATTGTTTCTCTAAACTCCAAAAATAATGAACAGATAACAGCATTTCAGGGAGAAGGGAAAGCAATATGCCAAGACAGTGGCTAAGTAATTAAAGGCAAATATGAAAGAATTCCTTTCATATTTTTCTTCTTCACCAACACCTTCTCTGTGACTTATGGGAAATAATTTATAAAGGTCAGAAGGGAAGAGGAGGTAAGAAAGATTCATTGAAAGCAATTTTGGTTAAAGAGATAACTATGTAGAGATGTATGGGAGAATTTTAATAATGTGCATATGCAGTGGCAAAAAAAAGTATTTAAGATTCTCTTCATAAAAGTAAGATTCATAATAAAAATTTTGTAAGATAATGTAGAATTTGTAGTATTGAAATATCATAATAAGATATGAAAAGAAACCCCAATGTCTTGGTTAAAGTACTTAATTATCTGGATTACTTTTTCACAGTTCAGTTTTTAGAGGAAAGAGACAAATAACATGAAAGCAATCTCATTGCAAGGATTTATTTAGAGATGAAGACTTTAAATCACGTGTTGCCAGTCCCCAGCTATCACAATAGCCTGTTTTCGCATAGACCGGGGTTTCTCATCAGTGACCCTGTTGACATTTTGGGCCAGGTATTCTGTGTTGTGGGTGGATGGCTGTCCTGTACAGTAGAAGATATGTAGCAACATCCCTGGCTTCTATCTGCTAGATGACAGTATCTCCCTCCTCCCCCAGTTGTAACAACCAAAATGTCTCTGGACATTGAAATTTCCTCTGGGGAGCGAAAACCCTCCAGCTGAGAACCGTACTGAGAGCAGAGCCTCTGCTAGCAGACCACTAGGGACCTCAACTTCTGGCTCTGCAGTTACTAGCTATGTAGTGCTAGTCAGCTGTCTTAACCTCTCTGCGATCCAGGTTCTGTATGTATAAAATAGGTATAAATTCTAGTATCTACCTCTCAAGGTTATGGTGGGGATGAAATGGGTGAACATGTGTAAAGGCTTTTACTCACCATTCTGTAGTTATTAAGTCCAGATTAGTGATGAGTAGGGACTCCTGTCCTGATGTCACACTGCTTGGCATTTACCATAGACAATACTACTTATAGCTGTGTGACCACACACAACTTCCTGATCCTTTTAGTGTCTCCATTCTCTTATTTATAAAATGGAGGTAACAGCAGTGTCTACACCTCACCAGGATGTTGGGTAGTGTTATGTGAATGTAAGGGACAAACACAACAGGACTGCCTAGTAAAACACAGCTTTCAATAAAGACTGCTTAATAACAGACGTTTGGAGGCCATTACTCAAGGCTAGATGTTGGGCTCTTGGATATGCTTTGGTTGACTTGCCTGATTTATTTACTCTGTCTACCTGGCTTCTAAAGTGTTTGAGTTTGTAACTCCTGCCCAACACAGTATCAATTATAATCATGATATGCTAGTTACTAAAGTGAGGAGCATGGACTAATAATTTCTGTAAGCTTTTCAGTGAGAGTGGTAGTAAAAAGTTTTGTGCTTAAATATGAATGAACATATAGTAATTTAATTGGAGCATCTATTTCATCAATTTTTTCATCAGATTTTGTTTTCATTGGGCCACTTTGGCAAACCATTGTTTCTCTCATTATCAGGGCCATTACAAAAGCAGTGCTGGGCTACTCTGAGCCTGGCCCAGGTGATTCTGTGTGCAACTTTTGTTTCAATTTAAAAGAAAAAAAAATATTGTTTGCAGAGATGATTTCCTGGCTATTTTACCACTAGCATGAGAAGCACTTAAATTAGATCTGTTCTAAAGTTATTGAAGCCATTCTTTGTTCTCATGGCATTTACAATTTAAAACAGATAGTTCAGAGAGCAGTAAGCTGCCATCAGGCATTTTCGTTAGTTTTAAATGTTGTAACAATATTTAAAAAAAAAATCCAATTGCACCATGGACTTAAAACTTTTTAGGTGCGTTCTTCCTGGGTGATATTTCTTTCCTATCCTTTTCTAGTTGTGCATGTTCATAAAACCCAAAGGTGCCAACACTCTAAACTGATCTTGTCTCCTTAATTAATTTAAAAAGTTACATTTTTAATGCAGTGTGAAACAAAAAAAAACAACAGTAAGAAATAGGAAATAAGGTGAAAAATTTTATTATATGCTTTCGTTTAGCCATATTAGAATTACTGTTGTAATTATTCTCATAATTACAAATCAGTAATTTCCATGAGACAAAATAAATATTAATACTTCTTTTTTCCCTTAAAATAATAGTTTTGGTTTAAATGGTCTCTCATTTGACTTTAAACAGCTATTTTGCTGGTAAGCCTTAGTCTGTGACAAAAGATAGAAAATGAAGGGTTATTCTAGATTTTTTTTTCATTAGCTATAGTATTCGGTATTGTGCAAATTTAGGAATACTGTATAACTTGGGCTTAGGAAGTTTATCTTCTTCAAGTGTTTAAATATCTAGAGTAATAATTATTTTTAGAAGAAGCTTCAGAGTTGAATATGCTTTAAAATATTTTTTAAAAAATGACTCCTAATATAGCCCCTTTCAGTGTCTTCAAAATTGGTTGCATTCACTGGTTTTCTGGAGGGCAGCCAGTACTGAGTTTGTGTGAAGATTGTGGCAGGGAGGGCAAGCTAGAGATCTGAGAATCAGGGCCCTGGACAGGATTTTTATGGTGCCTCTGCACTTCTTTTATTGTGGATGGGTATGATGATGCCTCCTTCGCCGAGCTGATGTGGTGATTTAATGGGCTCAGGTATGCGAAGGGTCTGGCAGATCCCCTCGCTCAGGGTCAAGCATAATAAATGGAGGCAGCCTGCACAGCATCAGGTTGAAACACATCAGAGGATTCTGGTGTTAGGTAGCATAGGTGTGGACCTTGACTCTGATATTGTGCTAGCTCTGTGATCTTGCAGAAATTAATCTGATGTCTCTAAGTTTCAGTTTCCTCAACAACAATACAACATGGGTTGTGGTAAAGGCTGAATGAGAGAATATAAGCAATGTGCTCAGCAATGTGCCCAGCGCAAACTAAGTGCTCAGCGAATTAGCATTTTTATTAGTATGTGTCTGAGACAAAGAAGCTGAGAAGCAGAGAAAGAGATACATTTAACACTTTTTGAAGTTGAAGAGGCAATTTCTTAGTCACAGAGCAGCAAAAATAATTGTGTCTTTACTAAAAGAGTAAAATTGTATCCTTGCATGGAATGTTGCCTGTTATCAGCAGATAGAGCTAAATGCCAGAAATAGCCCTTTCAGGGGGAAAAAAAAAAGAACACAGATAGATGTAATAACTCGTTATTGTAACTTTAATAACTAAAAAAGTTTGTTACCTCAGGTTTTAAAGTTATGAATTAAATTAGCAAATTATCTTCTCAAGCTCCCTTTTTTCATCTGCACTTCTGGAAAAACTGAATATAATTCCAAGCAGTTGAGATATATGGTAAAAAGTAAGCTTCCTAAGTGGCTTACTATAAAGTCAAGAACATGTTAAACAAAGTTGCATACGAAGTCAGAGGCAGAATATTAACTGTTTTTGCCAAAACTCTCGAGTTTTTGCCACAACTCTTGAGTTTTTGCCAAAACTCTTGAGTAATATGCCTTCTGCAAATCAGCTTTAGTCCTCTAAGATGGGTGATCAATTCAGCAGCTCGTCTATCCAAACGAGGCTACAGGAGAGAGAATGAACTATGAAGCCAGCAGTAAGGGAATTCTGAGATGTTACACAATAGGAGGGGTGAAGAATCACTGACCATAATATGATGAGGCACATAAAAAATTAAGGCTGAGTCAAGAGAAAGGAACACCAAACCTAAGCTACTAAATAGAATTAGAAGTATGGTAGCGTCTTGCCTATTTGCATCTCTCCATCCAGGACTGAGAGTCAGAGCAACATTTGAAAATCCCATTCATAAGGGTTCATTGCATGACCTGTGTGCCTCTTCCTTGGCCCCCTTTCATTGTTTCCAGAGATTTTGGTGTTATTCCTGGCCTCTGTCAGGCATGGGGTGAATGGTTGTGAGGGCTGAGTGAGGTCGGGAATTATTCTGGGGGAGCTGGATGGGCAGACAGAGTGAAATTTCAGACCCTTAGTGTTAATTACCTATCTTCTACACCACTAACAGTTTTTATTCTAACATCTACCATTTTCCAAAGAATGCTGTAGTTTAAACTGCTATTATTACTGGATAAATTATAAAGCTATATTACTACTCAAGTTTTTCATTCTAGCACTTGGAGAAAAAGCAGGGGAAAATGTAATTTATTCAATAGTATAACATCATTTGTCAATGGCCTTATACAAATTTGTAATAATGTGTAAATATAAATATCTTAAATTGTACCTGGTTTTGTAAATAAATTATCTGCTTTATTCCTTACATAAGTGAGACTACAGCTAGAAAGTTAGAGTAAAAATTACACCAAGAACTTCACTGCTCTATTTTCTTCTCCTTTCCCTTCAAGACACTGGCAGAATAGTTAAGAATACAGATTTTAATAAAAGATTGAACTACAATGAGCCCCAGCTTTGTTAATTATTAACTTTTTAGCTGTCTGTCCTTAGTTAACTTATTTCTTCTACCCTTAGTTTTTCTGTTTGTAAAAGAAGGATAATTATGACTGCCCTACAGAGCTTCTGTAAAGAGAAATTTGAGTCTGTATGCAGTGTTTGCTATAGCGGTTTCAGTTAGTGATTACTGAAAATATGGGATTGTTATTATTCTGGAGTTCATATTGAGCCCCATGAAACAGCTATATGTACAAACAGGAGAACTCTGGCCTGTGTAATTTAGGCATATAAAAGGCCTTTTATCAGTTATTTCTTTTTATAAACAAAAAAACCAGAGGCTTGGACCAAGAAGCTCAGATAGCATTCAACATTACTGGTACTGGCTGCTGGAGATAAGGCCAGGAAGCAAAGTGTTTGACTGCTTGTCTAACTTATACCTTTTATAATTCCTCTGTAATGACCAAATAGGACAGGATGGAGGTCATTTTAACAGGAACAGGTAAATATGCTTAGAGTCAGGTTCAGGGTAGCTTTAGATATAGAAGCTTTCAGAGAAATAGCACATCTTATATACATAAATGCATAGTCAAGGGGTCAATCAAAATGCTTCAGCTTCTCTTGTTTTAGGGCAGTGTCTCTAGAAATGATGGGAATGAGAATTCTTAAGAAGAGGATCCCTTAAAGCACAGCCCTGGGATGAGATAAAAGTATTCTTTTAAGATATTAACAGACACACTGCTCCTTGGTTGACTCAATACACATCAGTGACACGTGGCAGGTTCATTCTTTTAAGTAGGTGAGCAACGTTGAAGAAGGCAAATGAAGTGCATGATAGACTGTCCAAGTTCCTGATGTCAGAAGAGTCCAAATGCTGTGTAAAATTCCACCAGAATTAGAATTTATTCCCATAAGGTTATATGGCATATGTCTAAAATTATGAGCATTTCTTTGCCTTAATGAATCCTTCTAGATGAGCAACAGCACCCTCTAAAATAGTTATGGAGAGCTGACTTCAGTGACTTGGCAAAACTTCAAAAGAACTATAGAATGCAATTTGAGAATAATGTGATTATTATTTTTCCTTTAAAAAAAACCTTCTCCTTGTCTCACAACAGCATAATCCCTCTTGTCTCCTCCTCCACTGCCCAGTAAATAAATTGGAACTCTATCTCAGATTAAAAGAGGTTGACTAGAGGTTGAATATAAGAAATGATTAAATTGAAGTGGGCGGGTCTACCAAAGTGAGGGTAAAAAAACACTGCTGGAATAACTCCAAATCCTAAAATTTTAAATTCATACTCTAGTTTGCCTTTTAAAACCTTTAAAATTTGAGGCTGCTTTCAAGAGACGAAAGCAAATAAAAGTTGAACTTGTTTTATGTGGTAATACGTTGCTCCTCTGCTTTCAGTAAGTCTAACACGGTGTTCCAGATTAACTAAATTTAAATAATTTAAATTTTACTTATGGGACCACACACATTTCAGGATAATTTAAATGCTTCAAATATAGCAGTTCCCAAACCCGGCATGGTGAGCCTCGGAGCCCTGCAGGACACTCAAAAGGGTGCCTCGAAATGTCCTAAATTTTCAAGGGAGATTCAGTGAGAGTCGGCATCTGTCAGGTACCTATGAACCACTACTTGGAGATGGTTCACCATTTTAAGATTACATTTGACTCTGTTCCTTTAGAGGACATCGTATCTTTGCAAAGCTGGGCAGGATGAAAATCAGTGTGAAACAGGAAATGAGGTTGGTGATGTCCAATCTGATTCCAAGGCTTGAAAGTTCCCATTAGTAACTGAATTACTGAGAATGACGCAAATATAGGTATATGTGATTTATGATGTATATTATTATTTTTTAACTGGCTGGTAAGTTTTTAAGGCCAGAAATAGTTAACTTATTTGTACCTGACTACTTAATAAACAGAACTGTCAGGTTTTGGTGTTTGGGTTTTTTTTTTTTTTGGCCTAGGGGACACCAGGGGAAAAAATTACTGAGACACTTGGGTACAAAGATCTAAGAAAGTTTGGAAGTTTCTGTTCTAACATTTGCATGAATGTATAAATATGTGTTGATATCAGAAATAAATGATGCTTGGTAAGTTGATTTTTCACATGCAGAATAGCTAATGCTGGGAAGTATAGGTTTCTAGAAGATTGTATGTAAATATACGATTCGGAGCTGAAACTGACCCTCAGGAAGCAATCCAGATATTCACTGATTTAAAAAATGAGCTCCTAAGTATAGACAAGCTTCAAAGGGAAGGAGTGAGGTACACACTATTGAAAGCTGTCCCTGTTTTATCAGTTTTTTCCCTTGTTTCTACTTAGATTCTACCTGTCGTGAGGATTCCTCAGTCCAAGTACTTTTCTTACTCATCCTTAATATGTTTTTATATACCAACCCTACAGAATTAGTTTATTTATGTAAAGCTCAAGTGTGTGTGTATGTATGTGTGTGTGTGTGTGTGTGTGTGTGTGTGTACATATATATATATATACACACACACATAGTAGGTATTTTTCTCTTAAGGACCTTTAGTTGGATTGAAAGTAAGCTTTTCTATCACTTTTAGTTTTGTAATTTATATAGTACTTTGTAGCACATCAGAGAGTCAGCTACTAGATGTTGTCAAAGTATTTTAGCCTTATATCTTATTGACCAGCATTTACCCATTGCATTGTCTCATAACTTCAATCTCATGACTTATACTGACTGTGTGTCATGTTCCTTGAGGTAATTTCTTGGTACAAGAACAGCGGAATTGCCAATTTAAACTTATACTTTAACCAAAAGAGTGATAGCTCAGAGGCTATATATAGCTACATTACCATGCTTGTTGATCTGACGTACACATTGTTTTTCAGATGGCAGTTTCCATCATTTGGCACCACTATGCCTGCCAATTTGCTATCAAGGGCAAGATGAGAGGTCTGATCTGTCATCACCAGCAGCAATCTTTTAGCTTCTTTTCTCCATCCAATATGACTCTTAAAATAAACATGTAATTAGACCTTGTACAACATAAATCTGTACTGTGGTCTTTATCTCAAGTAAACGTTAAGCTCAAGTTCACAAACATTAAGTTAGGCTACAATGATGTGCACAAAAACAATGCTGTTTCATAAACAGAATGAACTTTTATTTGTGTATTCTCTGTTTTACCACAGATGTTTGACCACACTGGCTCATGGCTATAGATTTCTGGTGTTCTCCCAGAGGAAGAACAAGCCAGGATCTCAAAGTGTGGAGCAGCCAGTATGATGGGAGCAGGACAACAGGCTCTTTCTGGTTTTTGCCTTGGACGGTGGTGAGTGAGAACAGCAGCCATTTTGGAAAGGATTTTTCAAGTGTATAAGTTATTCTTTCCCTTTTAGCTTTTCCTATAGAAAGCCCTCTCCCCTCTGTCCTGAACATATACCAAAATGAATAACATTAGTGACACATGAGAGCTAGAAGAAGGTATTCTTCTATGCTCTGATTTCACTCCATAAATCAAATAGAAAATAAAAATCCCAAATTCTTGGGGAATTTTGCATTTAAGCAAACACTCGGTCATGTGAAACATCTTACCTCACAGACAGCTGCCTGAAGCATGGCGTCGAAACCTCCTTCCGGTGTATCTATATTTCCAGAGATCTTCTGTCTGTGAACTGCTTTTTCAAATTCAGTGATGTTCTCTGTCAGAGACAGCACATGGATGTACCCATGGGGAGGCATGCAGTCTAAATTGTAGTCACTATATGGGTAAAGAAGAAATGCAAATTCTATTTTGCTATGTTTCCTTCAAAGATTCAAGATACTACTCACAATACAATCGTGTGGATGGTGTGAGAAGGGAGTATATTTGTTTATTTTTTTGCCAAGGAAATTTTATAAGAGAAAATCTGTACTTTATAAAATCAGAGAAAAGTTAAATATTGGTGAATATTTATTTGCAAGTAGGAAGTAGAAATATAACCATTTAGTGTTGAAAAATAAAGACAATTAAACCTGTTTCTTCAATATAAGACACCTAAGGGCTTTTATTATGCTAATATGCAGTGTTATTGTTTTTTTAAGAGGAGATAAGAATTTGCAGCGATTTCCTATCACATTTGAGCATGGAACACCTGAAAAGTACCTTTTGGGAAATGCTTTTTAGGAATTTAGTTAAAATATTATACTGTCATTAGATTGTTTTAAAATATTGTGCTAATTTTTTAAGTGATGCTTGGTGTGCAATTACTGATGAACAGTTAAAATTCATTCAAATTGTTTTGAGAATTCCATGACGTTCCCCAAAGTGAGAATCATTCCTCAGGTACAGCCACATAGGGAGAAGGCACATGACGCTCCTTGAGGGGGTGTATCAGGCCTGTTCCACTACCACAGACGGTAGAGTTGTTTTGGTAAATGAGAATGTGTACTGTAAAGCGATCTGGGTGGATTATGGAAATAGGAGAGAAGGTGTTAAAAGGAAATGTTTTATTAAGGAAGAACTAGACACATTTATATTTCTCTCTGAAAATCCAACAGGTTAATTAGAATATTTTATGAGAAACTTGTAGTTTTAAGGTCAGTCCCTGTTTCGTAGTGGGGCATATGCTATTTGGAATTGGACTTCCAAATGATAAGAAAAAGGGCTCTTTCTAGCAGGCAACTGCTCATCTTATGACATACCTTCCATGTGCTAGCTGAGCTTTCTTTGAAGTCATATCAGAAGCAACATAATTATAAATACAGTCATAATGCAGTAATGGAAATACAGATGCAGTACTGGCCACATAAGTACTGGAAATTTGGCAAACAGTAAGTCAACAAAGTTGAAGCAATCAAAACAGAGAAATGCAGATTTTTCAAAGAGATATTTGTATATATGGGTAGCCTAATTATTGGAGGCTTGTCCAAAATTATTAGTATTATTTGTGTCTTTGTGATAAAAACAAAGTGAATGATAGCCAAAAAAATATAAAAAGTGCAAGTTACAGATAATCTCAGAAGTCTTCAGATAGGAATATACTTCCTCTCCAAAATTTTTACTTGTCATTTAATAAAATAAAAATACAAAATTTAGTAAGTCCTTTATATAAAAACAAAGTGAGATTTCATAAGAAAATAATTTCATTTGGCATTATGAAATCCACCTCGATCACTAGATACCTGCATTGATTATGAATCCTTTCTGGGTGGATGCTAATATATGGTGAAACTGTTTTATCCACGTAGGAGCCAAATCCAAGACGGAAGTCACGGGAGAAAAAAGCCATTTTTCTAGATAAGTCATTTCCAACAGAATTTAATTTTTCAATATTATTGTGCATTGATGCTGAGACATCAACCAGATAATAAAGATCCACAGGATATTTCTTCAGAGGATGAATTTTCAGCATAAAATTAGCTTCAGCTCCTACTTCAAAGAAAGACAAGAACTGTGTAGTATTCATTTTAAACATTTCAGGATAAACTGTCAATAAATCAGTTACATTTTAGAAATAGAACAATGATCACAAATTTGTACATAATGAATGAAACTAGGAATATCCCGGAATAATTTTAAGGCAATTTGAAAACCATGCAAATTTATGTTTCCATCTTCTACAGTGAATTTCTCACAATTCTATAGGGCAGAGAGAGATAATACCAAACAGACTAGCTCCGTATAAATGTAATAGAGAATATGTTTACCACCATATGAACCTGTATGTCTAGTATCTAAAAAGCACAGCATAAAACAGCAAGCAGCATTCTATCTCATAGAGTAGGTGGCTGTGTTTGTTTGAAGGTGGCTTTCAGTCTTGAAGAAAACCAGAAAGGTATCTTAAGAATAATTACCTCTTATTGGATATAAGTATAAACTCATTCTTTGAGTTAAGGCATGTTTACATATAAGATGTAAATACTGTTACTGAGAAGTACATTAAGATATTCAAAATAATTAGTATCTCATCACGGATTACTTGATAAGATTCTTCCCAACAGTTAGTTGTGAGAAGGAGTGAGACAGTGCTCTAAAGAATGTTCCCCAGAAGGGCCACACTGAGGACCTGGGCAATGTAGCGGACAGCAGCTGTCGAACCCATACTGGGTTCTCAATGAACGTATATTGAAGAGGTATCACAGAGGCCAAGGAGCTGCATGAGAAGAGAGGGCCACCACAAGAAGAACTGTGGAAGTCTGCCACAGACAATTGTCTGTAGTAATCATTTATTTAGTTGTCTGCCCATTAGCATTTGATACAAGGATCTGTACCCCTGTACACAGGATATGGCACCATATACAGTTGATAGCTTTGTATTTAATTTTTCAAAGTAGATGGTGAAGGGCCGCCTGAGTGGCTCATTGGTTAAGAGTTGGCTTGGGAGCAAGAGCGCTGAGCAGCAGGGCTGCCAGTTTGGATCCCACATGGGCCAGTGATGCTGTGCCCTCTACAGCTAAGATGGTGAACAACAATTCGACCTGAAGCTGGGCTGCTGTGAGTCGCCAGCGATGGTATAGGCTGCAGCCCCTGCTGCAGTGGGCTGCTGTGAGCTACCCTAAGCGGCTATCCAATGGCCAGCGACCGACTGCCTCAACCATGAAGAGCACAATGATCATAATACCAACATGGGCTAGTGAAGCGACGTCCTCCACAACTAGACTGAAGAACGAAAGGACAGCAACTTGTCTGTTCCCCTCCCCAATTCCCCAATGCTGTTCCCTCCCCTAATTCCCCCAATAAAATCTTAAAAAAAAAAAGTAGATGGTGAAAAGTTATCAATTTAAATACAGGCAGTTTGTGAATTTTACTGTTTAAGGAATAAAGCAAATGCATTGTATGTCATTAATTATTTGTCCATGGAGAATATTTTAAGTGGAAAAACATTTTTAATACACACCAATTTGCATACATAATTGATAGCCTGATCTACCTATTAAAAGAATCCTCTAATTTTTCAAATCATATTTTCAGTCTTAATGGGCTTAAAAGTAGCAATATTTTCTTATAAATTATTTCATAAATTGGATGTTTTTAAGCCAGATTATGGAATGTATTCAAAATAGTAAGTTTTTTTCTGGTATATAATAATTGTGGGAGAAAGGAGCTATTTACTCATTTCTAATTTGCTGTTCTATGGAGGAAACCCCTTTTCCATAACACTCCTAATTTTGGGGGCCCTTAAAGTTTGGGAGGAGAAATTGGGCGTGCGTCATCCAGGCAACTCTCTCCTTCCTTCTCTTTAGGAGGTGGGCTGCCTCCAGCGAGGCTCTGCTTTCTGGGTATCTGATGAAAAAGGTTGCCCATATGGAAGTATCCTGCAGTTTGGGTAGAGAAGTTCAATTCAGGCAGATGCTAGAATCTAGTAGAAAGGGTTAGACTGGTGAAAAACTAGAAATAGAGCATAATTGGGGAGTGTGATTCATGAGGAGGAGCTTGAACTTTTAATGTGGGGGTCAGTACTTTTTTTTTTTTCACAAATCGTGTAGTTGTTTAATCACGGACTTGGACATATGGCTGAAGGCCTTGGCCACATGGTATTGTCATCTTGGTGGATCACTGCAGTTTATGGTGGCTCTGTTTGAAAATGAATGTCTGTTGTTTTTATAAAGTCATTGCAAAATAAACTTAGTTAAGCATATCATGCAGATTGTTATATTGTTGGTTGGTTTTTTAGCCAACAGGCAGAACCTGTGAAGCATCAGCAAAAAACACAGTCCTTAGAAGCCTAAGCTATTCAGGGAGCCCCAACTAAATGCTAACCACACAGGGGACCTCAGCACGTAGCAGCTGCCTGTAGCTTAGCAAGCAAATCCTGGTCTCACTGGCCTCAGCAGAGAACAGAGCTGGAAGGTATAGGCTGCCGTAGCTTAATGTTGATTACATTGATGCTGGCGTTAGCACCATGTACCTGGGTCAGCTTGAGACCTCAGCGTGGCCTGACAGCTCAGTCAGACAAGTTTTCAATAAAGGAGAAAAGAGAATCTTTCCATGCACAGGCCTTTTAGTCATTGCTGGAGAGAACAGTAATCGCTGCTTTCAAACTGCAAGGCCCCTGAGTTTCCTGTAAGGTTCTAGCTTTAAGTAGGTAGCTCATGTAGGCAGCCCTGCACAGGCTGACCCCAAACCCCACTGTACTTGTTAAGGAGGAAAGCGAAGGGGCCAGGCTTGGATTACCATGTTTTCCCCATGAGCTTGAGACACTCCCCACAATATGCTCTCAAGTTGGTTTTGGATTGAATAATTATATATGAGGGAGAAGCTTTCTCTTGGAGGCAGTAGGAATATCTGGTCATGGGAAAATGGTACTATGTCCCTAGATAAAATCCCCCTCAGTTCATACCGGGGTGCCAACAACACAGGGCTCAAAGGGCAGATGACATTAAAGAGGTTTTGCATATACTGGATGAACAAGAAGCACATCTAAAAATAAAACTGTGGCCGTCACCATTGTGAGGTTATCAACGCAAGCAGTAATGTCTTAAATGCTGCTCTGACAGAGAAGCTACGCGGGGGTGGAGTCTTCCTGGCTAAGAGCTACTAGCTGAGGTAATCTATGTAAAATATCTACCACAGTATTTGGTACACAGTACATATATAGATGTTAGTAATCATTGCCATGAGTGTTACTAGATTCTGAGCAACATTCGGGTAAGAGCTATTCATCTTTGAAGCCTAGGTTTGCTACATGCATAGCCACGCGTAAGTGTTCTTTAACTAGACTATATTTGAAGCACATTTTTATACAGCATTTCAAAAGGCCTACGTTTATCACAGTAAGAAGCTAATACCTATGACTTCTTTCCCACAGTTTAGGGGGAGCTTATCTCTTTAAGAGGAAAAGAGTTATCATCTGGCCCCAAAATGTTTATGCTACCATGTGTATTATCACCAGGAAAGCTTTATCCTCATACCTTTTGAGATTCTAAAGGCTCAGATCCTTGTTTCCTTCAATTAAATTCAAAGAGAAGTGAGTCTGTGACAGAATAAGAAAGAGGACTTGGAGGAAAGTTGAGACCTACTTAGAGCTATTGCCAGTACTCGTTTGAATAGCCCAAAGAATTAAAAGTTGTTAGAATGAATTTTGAATCATTCAAGTAATGGTGTGAGCGTATCTAAAGAACTGGCTGCAACAAACATGACTGGACATTAAGAACAGATAATTTAGAATGTTTTGTATCAGATGAAATTGAAAATGTGTAAAAGTATAGCAGGTAGAAAACACAGCCAATTATTGGGTTATCAGAAAAGTCATGACATATTTTTTTTCGATGTTTTTCGTTGCAAAAATGCATCATGACTTTTGTGACAACCCAATACTATTAATTATACTTGCGCTGGGGAAGGAGAAAGCCCAAGAATGAGACTGGTTTGAAATAGCAAGGCACAGACTCCAGCATTTCTCAGTTCTTGTGCGGGAAAACATGGGGGCTATGTGCCAGGGGTGAGGGGAGGAAATGCATGATTTTTATATTTTATGTTTCTTGAAAAAAAAAATTGAATTTAGGAAGAATACCTGACAAATCTTACATTTTAAATCAAGCTACACTAAATTAAATGGTTTTCTTTACAACATTAAAATGAGTCAAGTTTGAGATATTTTCTTGAATTAGTGAAGCATAGCTATCGATTATGCTGATCCTTATCATATACGTCATATTATTCTGAAGCAGAATGAAAGAATTCCCTTCTCTCTCCTGCTTTCCTGGAGATTTCATTTCAGTGTTCTTAGGGAACATCAATGAGGATCAGTTACCTATTTCTGTTATTATTTTTCCATAAGCTTGATAAGTAAAAATAAGAAACAAAGCATAGTTTAAGAAGTGAAGTAGAAGAAAATATCACTTTAAAATCTCATTTCAAATATTTGATTACATATTGTATATATTTTTATGTAGTCCTACTAACATTCTTTTAAAAATTTAGTCAGGGTATGATATAATAGAAATATCCATGAAGTTAAAAAAAATTCTTAATAGATTCCACATTGAAAGTCATGAATTTTTATCAGAAAAGAATAAAGTTATTACTACTAAATACATCAAAATCAATATTAGGGGATAAATACATTTTACTTATATGTGTCATGGTGGAAAGGGCTTTTTACATAATGAGGAGTGATGTTTCTCTATATATCTGGAGTTGGTAAAAACAAAACAAAACAGCTTTATATATTATGCCACAATGCATTTTTAGATGAACTTATTAAATCTAATTTAATAACTATTTTCTACATATGCAGATTATAAAATATAGTTCTGTCATAGCTAGGTTATAAAGATGACTTACACACATTAGAGAATTACACTAATTTGCATACAGAAATTCAAACAGTGATGGGAAATGGAATAAAATCAAGCCCCATAATGATTGACATAGACATTAAACATTTCCCTTTTCACTCTCCTGCTACCTCTCATCTCATCCACACTGCCTACACTTACCATCGCATGTTGACATCTCCCAGGTTTCTATCTCCAACCTGTATCTCTCTCCTAAACTTCAGCCTCATGTAGACGAGTCACTCCCTCGATTTAGGTAATCTCAGTTTGAGCTCAGTACCACCCCCCTGCACAGAGGGCAGCTTTCCCCATCTCAGAGTTGCTCGAGCTGGAGCCCACGTGTCCGCTCTCTCACCAGTCACCAAACCCTGAGGATGCTACCTCCCCACTGTCCCTCAAGCCTGTTTTACTCCTGCCTCATTACTGTTACTGTCATTACTATCTTTAGCATTAGTACCATTATGGAAACAGCACTGAACAGTTTTCCAACTTTTAAACTGTTACTTTATATTAATAGTCTCAGGAGGATTCAACCACCATTATATCTACAAAAGGGAACAAGCTAAATTAAGTGTATAAATTTAAATGTAATAGTAGAAAAAACTGCACCTTGTAATTTTTAAATCTTCAAATATTTAGAAAAGAGCAAGACATTTTTAAAGAGTGTAGTCATAATTATTAGAGGCAAATAATATATGATAAGCTTCATGTATACTTAACTTTTTATATCTTTATTAGGTTTTTAAGGGTTCTCCCTCTTCTTGAGTCAATTGTAGTCATATGTTTTCCTACAAATTATCTATATTATGAATATTTATACATTTTACCGTAGATTTTGTGTTTAATATTTTCTTAAAGGATTTTTCCCCAATATTTGTTTCTCTGTTTATAGTCTATATAATTAGGTTATTTGCTTTTTGTCCTCTTTTCTTAATTAGATTTGTCAACAATTTATTTTATTGGGCTTTACAAATAACCATCTCTTGGATTTATACATTCATTTTACTTTTTTATTTCTATTTTGCATTTCATTCATTTTGTTTTTTTCTTAACTTGTGAGTTCCTTCTTCTTGTTTTCCTTATGGTAATTATGTTTTTGTTGTTCCTACATTTTTACTTGGAATGCTTAGTTAATTTGGGTTAATTCTTCTTCAATAATAAAACATTTAAAGTTTTGATTTTTCCTGAGAGCAACTTCAGTCATGTCCCATGTATTTTGATGTGTGTTGTTGTTATTACTGTTATTACTAAATAGTGTATGACTAGAGTTGTGATTTATTCTTAGACAAAGAATTTATTTAGGAGGAGCTTTTCTTAGCTTCTCTGTTATTTAGTATTTATCCTCTTGTATTGATTTCAAATTTTATTGCACAATGCTCAGAGATATTGGCCTACAAAAAGAGTTTCACTTTTTGGAATTCAGTTTTATTTGACTAAAATATGATTAATTTCTGAAAATATTTCATTGCCTTTGAAATTATTATTTTATATATCAAGTGCTATGGGCTAATTTCTATCTCCCCTCTCCCCCAATTTATATCTTGAAGCCCTAACCCACAATGTGATGGTGTTTGGAGACAGGGGGCCTTTGGGAGATAATTAGGTTTAAATGAGATTCTGAGGGTGGGGCCCTCATGATGGGATTAGTGCCTTAGAAGAAGAGATACCAAAGAACATTCTCTCTCTCTCTCTCTCTCTCTCTCTCTCTCTCTCTCTCTCTCTCTCCTCCAGGCACTGAATTGGCTAGCACCTTGCTCTTGACTTCCTAGCCTCCAGAACTGAACTGTGAGAAAATAAATTTCTGTTGTTTAAGCCACCTAGTGTATGGCATTTTGTTATGGCAACAACAAGAGGTGGCATGCATCATAATCTTACCAACCTAACTACTTTCATTTTTGTGTATCCTTTTATAACTGTTGCTCATATATGTCCATACTGTGCTTTATAATTGTTTTACATGGTGAAGAGCACAGTTTTAATTGGAAGCTTGGAATATGTCTAGGGCCAAGAAACAAATGGTCTTTGTTTATATGGTAATCCAAGAATGTGGAAGAAATAGTTCAGCTTTGGAGTAGGGAGGTCAAATGTTGTAATGGTTATTTAAAAATTTAATGACAGAACAAGACCACCCAGAATAGAATAATGAAGGTTTAAAGGCAATCTGCATACTGCCTAAAACTAAATGCATTTAATTGAGTGATGCATACCTGTGCACCTGAATATGCAATTTGTACACTGGGATTCTCTAGCACTGGAGGAAAATGAATAATTTCTGGTGGTCTACTATATGTGCCAAACTGTGGAATATAATGTGAGGGAAGGGCAAGCACATGAGAAATATAGGAGGAAAAGCATGTTAATCTCAGAGGCCATACAAATTATAACAATTAAGGGTTGTAGTTTTGTGTCTAAAAATTGTTATCACACAAGCTCTAAGGACTTAGCTTAATTCTTATCTACTACTAATTAGTTATTCAGCTAATAAATTCAACAAATACTTATGGAATGCTTACTACGTGCCAGCACTCTGCTTAGGCATTGGAGGCACAGAATGGAATAAAATATGTTCTCTTCCTTCCAGAGCTGGCAGTAGAGTAGGAACACAATTACACTACAATGTGAGCAAGTCTGCAAACAGAGACTTATAATATAGTGTGGTCAGGTTTGCAGTGTCCGAGGCCACACAGCTAGCTAGTTTTAGGCACCATAAAGACTAGAATTCTGATTTCTTGATTCTGAGCCCGCTGCTATTTTTTCTACGACGGTACTGCCTGCCACAAAATATTAAGTATCAACAAATAAAACTAAATGTAATTTCAAGTCAAGAACCATTGTAGATTTATTTGGAAGTCACCAAACCTGGACGCAGCTGGATCCGCACTTCTCCCGGTGTCACCTGGGTATTCATGTCATCTTCGCTTGGTATTACGTGCACAGATGGGGATTCTATTGAATCAATCGAGCAGCCTTTGCTTATTAAATTGGACACAATATCACAACGTTCACTCCTTGATCCACCTGAAATGAAATCCTGTTTAAAAGAAGAAAAATCCCTGGTGTTTTTAGTGCATATCATCTCAATTATAACCCAAGAAAACCACATAACAAATATTGCAAAGAAGCCATCTTCTAATACTGCCCAAATTATGCAACTACTCAAAATTGCTGCATATTTCTAATAAGAGTGCTGGCAAATTTGTCTTAAACAAAGTTTTAATTTCTAAATCTTATTTAAAAAGAAGAAAATGAATATTAAAGAGGAAATTTAAACCAAGTACTTTAAATATTGTTAACTGATCACTGTAAAATTATACCAACTTAATTCTTTCTAAATATTTTACTTTGGGAAGACTGTTCCAAAAGAAAATTTAGCCAAAACAGACCATTCAGTGGTTCCAAGTGTAAGCCTCAGTTCTCAAAGATCTCAACTGGTATGTTTATTACATACTATTATGTTTGGAATATGAGAGCAAGTCCTCAGAAGTCACATGCCTAATTAGGTACAGAAAATTCATAAAAGAATGAATTGGAAATACACACTTCTGAGACTAGAAAATCCGCCAACATGTTATACACACAACAGCCTGTAAGTAATTCAGTAAACCAAGGAAGATGCTCAGAATGAGGCAGGGAGGTACAAGATGGCAACTCAGAGTCTCCTGCTTTTGCAACCGAATCTGGAACTTTCATTACCATTCAGCATTGATTAGTTGATGGTTAGCAATAGATATTCAATAAGCTTAGAAAGAATGGAGCAACCTTAAAATTTAATTGGTCTTGACTGAGAAAAAAATTGATATTTTTATTCTTCATGTAACCATTCAGGTTTTTTTCCCTAAGAACAGGAAATGCATTGAAATGCATAGAAATATGTATTATCTATAATGCTGGCCTGAATTATTTGGGGTATTTGCTTACATGTTAGCTAGATATTTGCTCTGTGATCTTCCTGGCAGTGGCTATTTTGATCTGGCATTCAGTCATTCTTCCTTCAGTTCAGCTGATGCAGAGAACTGGGTGTCCAGTCAGTTAATCTTTCAGTCACATAAGTTGACTGAATACTTACTCAGAGACAGAAGTTTGGAAGGTGCTGAGGATACAGAATAGAACAAGATCGATAGAGTCCCTGTCATCAGAGAGCCAGGAGACCATCGGTGAATTCAGCCGTTAAGCAAGCAATTGTAATTATCACGGGCATTAAATTTAGGAGAGGCACAGAATGTCATAGGGTTGTGGAGAAAGGAGATTATCAAGTTTATTATCAGTTGAATAGGAGATCGCTCATTATGACCAGGGACATCCCTGGCAGTGGTGAGTAGTCAGATGGGATGGTGGTTGGCAATATAAAAACATTCATACAAGGATTTTAATTTAATTCCTATCTCAATTTAGAATAAGGGTTAGAAAACTAGGAGCAGTGGGACAATTAACAACCCATGGCCTGTTTTTATATGGCTTGTGTGCTAAAAAACATGCTTTTTATGTTTTTTAAATGCTTTAAAACAATAAAAAAGGATGTACAACAGACATAGTAGTTGGCCCACAAAACTTAAAAAAATGTTTTACTATGTGACCCTTTCCAGTACTGATCCTGACTTAGTAGCATACTTGTAATATAAATATAAGTAAAACCCAACAGAGACTATTTCCTTTTAAATCAAGATTTCCAGGTGTCATTTGGTAAATGACTTCATGGAAACAAAAATTCAATTTGCTGTGCTATTAACCATACACCTAGATTTTAGCCTGAAGTTTCAAATGTTCAAAGCCTTCCTTTGTTATATTCAAATTTAACCTAGCTGTTGATAAAACTTAGAGGTACTGAATGTGAGATTTGGTTTATAAACAACTTGGGGTTCCTCAGAGAAAGGTGGCATATATTGCTATCATATGTATTAATATAACTTTGTTTCAGAAAGCCTCAGGCTGGATGGGGGCACCCACCTGTCCCAGAGCCTGGGGAATATTGAGGGTGTATGAGGCTCGTACATGTGTGCTCATTCATGCCTCACATGACAGGACACAGACCAAGGGCCACATGTGTTTCCCAGATGTAAAAGCCCCAAGCCTTCGAATCAGGAAAGGAATAAAGTACAAATAAGTTTTCTTTTCAGCCAGGGATTCTGTTATTTGTATGTACCGAATGGAAAAGAAGGGAGTGTGCTACATTCACTGCAACTATACATCAAGCTATGCCATTTGACCTTTAAATGTCAAATCGTTTTGCTGAAATAGGCAAAACAGTCTCAATCATTTTGCAATGTCTGAATCAGCATGGCTGTTTTCACTCCACAGTAAAAAACAATGTTGTACACCTGCAACCAATATAATGTGATATGCCAACTATAATTTAAAAATTAAAAAAAGAATGTCAAAAGGGATGGGATGTTTGCATTTTTAAATAAGATCGTCAGATGACATTTGAACCAAGTATGAAGGATCAGAGAGTGGATTAGAGGGACTTCTGGGGGAAAAAAATCACACAGAGAAGGAACATGCTGTGTAAATGCCCCCAGGCAGAAAGAAGTATGTCTGGCTTGGGCACAGAACAATAAGGCCGCCAAGGTACAGGCCAGAAATAATAATAGGAATAAAGTAGCTCACTTCTGTTGAGGAAAAAAAAAACTAAGTTAGAAAAAGTGCCAATTTGACAATTAGGTTTGAACAGAGCAGAAAAGAGCGTGGCATCAAAATAAAGACGGGAATGCTGCCGCTACCCACTGTGGCCTACTTTCCACTTTGTAGAAAAGAAAAGAATTTGAAGCCACACCCTTTTAATTTTTGGTGTTTGGTGTCACTTTAATTTTTTCTAATTCTTATGTTTTACTTTTTCTACAAGAAATCACTCAGGCAAATTCATCCTTCAATTGTCTGCATCTAAAATGTATTTGGAATGAATAGCCCAGGTTGAAGTTATGCTGGTAGGCTTTGCTTCAGCTGGTTACTTTCACCCGTTTAATGTAATAATCTGGGGAGATAAATGAGAAAAGGGTTTTCTCCAACTCATTTCTGAGTCCTTCTGACCTTGAAATTTGGCAATCTGCACAGAAATGAAAGAATGCTATCATCTTCCCTTTGGCAGTGAATACCCTTCGTATCATATTTTAGTGCAACGATGCCCCAGGGCTGCCCTCTAAGCTTCTCACTGTGCAATCACACCCTGTATCGGATGCATCAGGCAGAAGAGGAAGAGAAGCTTGTCAGGTCTTTCACATATAAAAAGGAACGTGAGGCATTAGACCGGGTAGTATTGAATCTTTCCTATAAACTAGGCAAGGTTCTGTCTATCTTGAATATTTTTCAGTTACTTTTATGTAGTGTGGGGAGAGAGAAGGCAGAATATATAGAATGGTAGGTTAACATGCTACACAAGAATGTAGGCTCATTGAGCGTACTCTGTATGAATTGTCTAGCAATCTTTTACTTTTGACCAGCTTTGAAAATTACACAAACCAGACTTAATTTTTTTACTGTTTATCTCTTCTAATCATGAACAGGGAAAAAGTGCATCGTCCTTCCCTGTCTCTCCACCTTTGCAGCCTGAGAAATAAAAGACATCAGTTACATACGTGCTTAAGTGGAGGACAACCTTTCAGAATTAACCATTACATCCTTCCTCTCGAGGTCAGGTCAGCCTGTAGGCAGTGGACAGCTCTCTCTGTTAATGATGTGGCTAGTGGCTGAGCTCTCGCACGGGTTGCTTCCTCTGAGGGCGTGTTCTTAACATAGGCAGTTCTGCGATTCCAAAGCCTGAATGAAGTGCTCCAGAGTCTCTCGTAGTAACAACTCCCATTTCTTACAGGAATGCCTCCGTGCCAAATGCTTCCCACACGCTGTGTCATGTAAGCTTCACAGCACTGTCTCATAGGTACACTTGTTATTTCCATTTCAGAGCTCGGGGAAGCAGGTTCAGATGGGTCAGGTTAACGTGTCCACATTTATACAGTTAGAAAGTGATGGAACTGGGATTTGAATCCAAGTTGATCTCATTTCAGAGCCTGCTTTTGTAGCATATAAATGAGACCACCCTGCACTACATGGAATATTTTGGGACAGCAGCAGCCAAGTCATTTCTGAATATTTTCTGAGCTCCCCTTACGAAGATTTGCCCATCAGCAGACACAGGTTTTCCTTCTCTGCTCCAGCAGTCCCCCCACCTTCTCCCCTTGGCTTACCTCCCATCTGAGCAGCCATTCCTCAGAAGACTCAAAATCCCTTCTCTCGTGGCAGGACTGACATTGCAACTCCTATAAGTGACTCTTCGGACTTCGTGCCAGCAGAAGTGTGAGATGGAGAAGGGGTCCCTCTTGACCCTGACATTCTGTATGGCTAGCAGATTGCCTTCAGCTGACACTGGGTTTCTGAACTCTTTTTTGAAAGTTCCTCTAAACTACACTCACTAACGTTCTTAGCAACTGATGTCAAGTTGGCACAAACTTCAGTACCTTAAGGATCTTCCTTAGTGACGTAATAAAAATCCAAAGTGGAGTATGGATTAGGATCAGGAACTATCGAGCCATGAAACATTCTCAACAGAGAAAAACCTGGCAGCAAACTCCAAACTAAAGGTTGTAGAGATAAAGAAAGGGAGGCTCAGAGAACAGAGTAAATTCTGTCCGGTCATTTGGCTCATGGGAAGTGGAAGCAATGAGGTTGGTCCCAGTCACTCTGGAATTGTCCTCTCTATAACATTGCTTGACTCCCTGCGTTCTCCTGAAACACTGCTTAGTTTTGAGTGACATCTGATTTCCTCACTGGTAAAGCCTAGTCTACATTAAGGAAGCCTTTGGGCTGCTATCAGGAGAGGCGCTTACTTTCAGATATGGCTACTGTTTCACGAACCCCTCCCCTGCCTCTCTCCTAACTTGCCTCGTAGAAGAAAGTAATGTCCACTATCTTGTGCTGAATTTCAGCTTTCTTTTTCCTCTTGGGGGATGCATCAGGGCAAGCGATAACAGGAAAGGTTGGAAAGATGATGGTAGGTGCACTTTTTGAGCTAAATCAGAGGAGGCAAAGCTAAGAGATTTCTCTTCATGTCAAGCAAAAGGCTATTGAAGATCTATTTGTTCCAATTCCCAGGGGCTACACAAATAATTGTAAAATTACCTCGGTAGTCTCATTAGAGAAGCGCCAAATTAGCAGATGGCTTCTTCATTGTAACTTATTATATGAGGTAGTTCGGACTGAATATTACCACGACCAAAAGTAACATACTCACAAAACTAACTTCCGAGTCAAAAAAGAAGGAATAGCATGTAATTATTTTACTAAGAAGTTTATTATAGGGATATGTTTCTCCTGTTAGAATATAAAAACACTCATTTTGAACACTAAACATTTTCTGAATTAGTCTCCATTCCACGGAATGTAAAGGTATAAAATATCACATAAACAGGGTTACATGTCAAGAAGAAAAGCACCCCATTTTCCATAAGCAACTAGCGAATTGATGAACAATGTTGTGAAATGGAGTAAATCACTTAACTCCAAGTATTTCAAATAAGAAGGAATGAAACAGACTAATAAATTAGCTTGCTTTTCTTTAATAAGCAAGCACAAAAAAAAAAAGAGATCCAACTTGGATATATAACCTAATGCCCCAAGCTGCAGCAAGAATTTCACACACAGCCTACTGACCTAACGCAAGTTACTATTTGTGTTTGCCAATTTTTTCATAGAACAGATGGAAAACATAAAAATGGTTTGCACTTCATTTCAAAATTACCATAATTTTCCTAATAAAAAGGTTACACTTCATATTCAGCCAGATATGCTGTTTCCAAGCATACAACCAAATAAAATTTCCCTGATGCTCATCAACATCTTTCTTTTTCCTGATGCACCTTCAGTGAAATGTTAGGGCAATGAAATGATGCTAACAAGAAGGTCAACTGTGAGAAAAAGAGAAAAGAGCAAAATAGAGAAAAGGAAAAGAAAGACAGAAAGAAAAAAAATAAAGGCACACCTCTTGAGCACACCATCCACATTCGGGACCCAGCGCGAGGCACCTGGTGCAGGACGCAGCATTTGAGGACGCACATCGATTGTTCTCTGTAACGTGGATAAAACGAGGCATTATGGTTTGCTCTCTTGTGGGGAAGGACATGCGATTCTTACCAAAACGTATTTGGAAGACTGAAATAAGCTGACCAATAGTTGTAAGTATGCGAAGTCAAAAAATATACAGTTTCTTTGGGAAGAGTTAACCTGCTCACTGCAATGAATACATACCTGGATAGTTACTGTTTGGTTTTTATAAAAGGTTTAGGAAAATGAGGGCGGTAAAAATGTGATTTTAGTTAGTAGGTTTTGGGGTTTGGATTGAATTCTACCGCAACAGTAGAGGACCCTCTGAGTTTTTTAGTGTGCTAAAGTTTCACCGTATTTCATATTATCAAAACCAGTGAGGTGTTTTTTGATCTAGAATTTTTCCTGTAAAAATAATTATATGCAGACCTCAATCTCAACATGTAAATCTATGCTGAGTCATAGTGAATGAGCTTTCTGAGAAATAATCTTGATGGACGTATAGTGTAATTAACTTGTGTTAATATTGGTTATTCTGACTTGAAGAATGTAAGAACCAAAATAATGGCATGATTCAGTAGTTTAAAGGTAAGGTGGTTAAAATGAATGAGTTATTTTAGTTAACCCAATTTAGTTTCTTTGACTGGACCACGTTAAGATCATGACCAATTCACTTTTCAAAAGATCCCCCACACTTGGCCATGACATTTTAATAACATAACTGTGCCTGGAAACTTTGCCTTTATCCCTCTAGTCACTAACTACTTATGCCATCAAAAAGAGGCTCATCATTATAGACTTATACACATCAAATATAATAAACAGTGAGTCATAAATTATTATGAGTCTTAAGTGGAATAATCACATGCTTCCTATATTTTTCCTACATGCTTCCTACGTTCCATCCTTTACTATTTACTAGGAAATGTCCCAAGGACACGGGAAGCCACAGCATCCCATGCAGCTTACTCAGTCATGCAGTAAATAATGTAGACACCCTGGCTGTTCTTAGCTCATAGTCCAGGTGAGGAGAACTATATCCGCAAACAATAAAATACAGTGTGATAATGAGAAACACAAGACAGATACCACCAAGGAGCTGTGGGAACGTAGTGAGGAGTGTCTCTGCTTTAGAGGGATGGGCAGGGGTGGGGAAGAGGGTATGTTTAAGGATGGCTCTCCAGAGGCAGTGATACCTAGTTTGTCTCTCTGCCATTTCATTTTGTTCCGTGTTACCTATGTTTATCTCTTTTTAAAAATGTAATAGGCATGAAAGATGACTATCTGTGTGTGCATAATCACACACAGACATGGTAGTTTGAAAGGGGATAGAGCCCACAGAATCTCTAGCTGTCCTCATCTAATTGGTCTCTCTTTTTCTTCTCTCTCAATTTGCCCCCAACATTCTAGAACACAGGGTTAAAAGTTCTGATCTGGAGGTGGCATGGGATGGGGATTGCGATGGGATAAAAGAAAGAGGAACTGCAGGAGAGAAATCATAGCACAGAGGTGCTAACTGGGGTGGGGGCCGTAGTGAGCACTCTTCCCTGTATCCCCCATACCAGTGAGTTAAGCTGGAAGCATCCTTCCCTAACACCCCTGCTGCTCTATGAGCTCCTCTCTGTGTCTCCTTGCACCCTTTGTCCTTGGCCTTATATTAGCTTTTAAAATACATTATCCAAAACTTCTTCACTGATCTAGATGCACTGGCCTAGAATGTTCTTCACTGGCCTAGAATTTCAAGGACTAAAAATAGCTAATGTTTTGAGCTCCCTTTACTACCAGTGTGGCCACCTAACTATGAAGACTCCATAGCCTAAAAACCTTCCATCTGGCTTAGCCAGCAAAACTGTAAAGCCTGCTTATTCCTAAAGTATTTAGAAGAGGGAGTGACCTTTTTAGTTTTGTTCCCAGAAAGAAAACCAATTTAGGTCTAGAGATCAAGCATATTTGCAGATCTAACTTGACCTTTACCGACTCTCAAACTTGACCCAATTGGAACATGGAATTCAGTTTATTACAGGTCAGACTTGATCAGGCCGTTTACTGAGTAGGTAGGACGTTTGCTCTCTGGCGGTTAATGTTGCATTCTCCTGGAAGTCAAACAGCAGATTCTGTGACACTGGTCTTTGTTTCTAATGATTTTCTGACTTTGTCCTAAGTTAACCCAGATTCAAGTTCAAGTCAGGCTCCTACTTCCATATGCATGTGGTAAATAATGAATTTACAAGCAAGAATCTGTTTTCTTTGTATTCTGCTTTCTGACTGTTTTCTTTAAAAAGTTCGATTGCCAACCTCTGTTCTCCAACTTCAGACACCTACGGATGATGACAGAAAGGGATAGAGACTTTGGTTCTGTCAGTGCTTTCCAGGTTCCGAGGCTGACATTTCCGAGTCTACGTAACTGCAGGAAAAATGTTCCCATAAATGGGTATGGCGGAGGTGGGCCTGCACAGTTCTGCAGAACTGGAGGAAGGCCATAAATTGAACTCCATGGGAATAGTGTCAAACATTATTGCTGGAGAGTGTCATGGTTAGACTTCACAGGAGACAAGCCAGATACACTCTGGTAAGCAGAGCTTGAAGGATTTCCTTTTCAATTTTAAAACATGCAAGTTATTAGTAAGTACCTAACATTAAAATATCACACCAATTATAGCAATTCTTTACACTAAATGGCCATGCTACTATGGGGGCTATTTGTCACTAAGTGTTAGGAATCTCCCCCCCCCCATGCGTGTGTGTGTGTGTGTGTGTGTGTGTGTGTATGTGTGTGTTGTGTGTATTGATCTTTGTCTCACACACGACTCTGTGCAAATAGAAATATGTACACTGCATATACATCCATGCATGGCTGTTTACAGACAATGGCCATTTGTTGTCAGCCTCCAGGCCTACTCAGTTCATTCCCATCCCTGATGCAACATCTCAGAAAAGCTGCTTTCCAGAGGTGGTTTCCTATCAGCCCTCAGTGCTGACGCCTCATTAGAGGGTGAGCCTGAGGGGTTCTTATTCCCTCTAAGATAGTGGTAGCTGCTCTCCAGCTATTTGTCCAGTGATGTGGCATTAAACACCTTGTTCTTAATGTCCTTGCACTGTGTTTTCTATGGATCCTAGTAGAAATTTTTAAGCCAATGGAAGCAGAATGATCATACGTAAACCACATATCCTCAGAACTCTCTTTTGTACCAATCTTTTTTAGTCCTAAGTGCCTCACAAACCCCATGTCATTAAAACACGGGCTGCCATGAGAGAAAGCAGATGATGATTTAACCTCATATTGTCAATGAGTGTGTACATTATACATAATTCTATTCCTTGATCTATGAGCATAGGTTGACAGTCTTATTTTTTCTCCTTTTGTTACCCCTGGAGTTACAGATGTGATGGGGTAGTATTCTTAAATGGTACTGGGAACAAAGTTCCAAATTTTCATAGCACTGCTCTGTAGTAGCTCTGTGCTCTTAGGCTAGTTGCCTCAATTCTCTGAGGCTCCATTTCCTCCACTGTAACACAGAGCTAACTGTCCCTACTTCAAAATACTGATGAGATGAAATGAGCAACTGTAACCGTGACAGGCATCGTGCTTAGGGTATAGTCGGCACTCCATAAAGGAGCTATTGTAATGTTATTATAACTAATATTATAATAACTTACATGTACTTATAAACAGATGTATATATACATATGTATTTAATTTTAGTTTTAAAAAAGGGAAGGCATTATGTGCCTTTAAATTTGTTGTAAATGTGCTGGGTTGTCTTTAAAGTGAATGTCCCTTGGGTCATAAAGGCAAAGTTTTAAAAGCATAGCTAGTATAAAAAAAATAACTATTAAAATTGCTGTATTTATTTTAGTTATTTAAAAATTCTTGAAAATCAATTTAGTCAAGTATACACACATCAGTTCAATCTATTACAAATACAATTTTGGCATGACTATAATGGGATTTCTGAAAATCTCTTACGTCTTCATTTTATTCACATTTTGCAGAGTGAACATTGAATTAATCTACATAATTTTTAAATTATTTCCCAGAATTAAATGTTTATGATGCATGTGAAATGACCTCTATAACTGTCTGTCATGAAGTATAATAAATATTCATCATTAATAGGATAGACTACACAGAAATCAGGAAAGTACATCTTCATGACACTCACTTAGATAGTCTTTGTTTTAGATGACGGGCGTATTCGTATTCTTTTGAGAAATTTTAATCTGTAGAAGTGAAAGGAGGAAGAAAATGGACCCCTCCAAAAAAAAAAAACAGAAAAAAAAAAACTAAAGAAGACAATGGAAGGCTTAATGTTTAGATTGATATCTTTCTGTAAATCAAGTGACCAGGTCAAGTGAAAGTTTTAGGAAACATTTCTAATGTTTTTCTGCTCTAAGTCTATGCCACAAAATTTCAACAAAATGTAAAGGATCTCCATAGTTACCTGAAAAAAGGAACAACTAAAACTGATAAAGATTATAGTCCTTGATATTCAGAATCAATCATTCCAGATTCTCCTGTTACTCCTACACAGAATGATTTGTGAAAAATGTAGAAATGCATTTTTTTCCAGGCAGTATCCTTTTCCTAATTGCATTTACTATACAAATTAAATTAAACTTGGATAATTATGAAAGCTACTTCCTTTAAAAAACAACAACAAAGTAAACACTGTTATAATGAGTACATATTCTACTTTGATAACAGTCAAAACTAGGAAAACATAGATTGAAGTTTGGTGTATAACTTTGGAGTTTCCTTGTATAACTTTGGGTTTCGTTGTTCTAGATGTGTATCATGGTCATGTAATGTTACAAATATCTTCAAAATACATTACCTGATTATTGAAAGCTCTCTTTTAAACACAGAAATTTAATATATGCTATTATTTGATATCAAAACCAAAATGAAAGAATAGTGTTCTAATCACGTGCCGTTACCTAGTTAGTCCATGTTTTGATTGAGGAGCTGTTTCCTTAAAAGCCCCATCAAAAATATAGGGAGGGAAGGGGTGGCTAGGGCTACT